AGTAATGCGTATAGTCATAGTATAAGTATTTCCACATTTCCAATCGATCTGAAGGTGCGAAATCGGTGGACGAAAGCCGTGAAAATAACGAGGAAAGGTTGGGGTGGACTTCCTCGTAACAGCGTCATATGCAGTGTCCACTTCACCTCAGATTCTTTTCTTTTTTTGAAAAACTGTCCTTGTCCATGACAAAACAACTAGGTTTTAACAAGAAATGCCGACAATACAAAACGTTTTTGAAAAAACAGATTCCGGACAAGGCCATGATCACTGAGACAGATTTCAGAAGGAAGAGAGACGTCGAGTATGTGTTTCAAATGATTTGATTTTTTTGCGATCCTGATTATCGCTTTATAGAGACCACCGGTGTTATGTAAAAAGGTAGCAATAATTTTGATAATGACACGAAAACAAAGTGTCGGATAAACAGGAAATTACGCAGCCCTCAGGCTGTTTTCATTTTCGCGGGCTAAAAGTGTCTGAATTGTTCGGTTATTGGTGTTGAATGTCGAATTCACACCTTTGTTGCCTTTACTTGCAGCTTGATCGGCGTAATAATTTACGGAATAAGAATCCGGGCTTGAGCTGTCAATGTATTTTTTTAATATGATGTCATAATCATGAAAATCACGCTAAATCCGCTCTGAATTTGTCTGTATGTGAGTCGCTCTCAATAATTTTTGTTATCCAATTAAACGCCGCCATTCACGCACTTGTCCCCCTCATGACCCGACGCGTTCACCAATTCAGTAACTGTGTTTTGTCGTTTTTTTAAAATTATTTCTCTATTTTATAAATCAATAGTGTCTAGTAACCTGCTAAATAACAAGACGATTCAGCCGTCAAATTCGATTTTGTCCAATGCCGGAGTCCAGCGACAGTATACAAACGTGCTCCGGTGACGGTGACGACCACGGTGACTAGCGACACCAGACCGGACATATTTCGCATCCGACTCAACCCCATGCAACAAACTTGATACTATGTGTTCATTATGGTCCATTCTTCCTCGACAACAACTACATAAGTGGCAATTTAGTCAAAGACGAGAAAACAGCACAAGAAATTTGCCTTATTTACATGTATCGGCAATGCAAGCTGCCCAGCGACTTCCACTTCTGACGTCACAAGGGGAATTTCTGTATGCAAATGAGAAGCTAATGAGGAGCCTCGTTTTAAAATACACAAAAATAAAGTTAAAAACACATTTTTTCACTTAAAAAAATTATTTATGCTTAGAAACATAAAAATTAATAATATTTATGTATCAATGGATAATTTTAGGCGTGAAAATAGCAGCCATTTCACAGGCACTTTAATAATCCCCATAACCGTTTTCCATTATAGATAAATTGTAGAACGTAACAAACTGTATAACTCAGTCTCAACAATGAGATACATGTAAAGGAATGTACATATTTACATTACTAATGCATTGCAATACAACTAATTCAAATTGAAAGAAATTGCAATATAAAATACTTCTACAGGCATATTTCACGGTCAGTGTTATTTACAAAAATATTTGTTTATAATTTTATAAACTTGCTTGGCAATACCCTCCCCAATTAGATATAATGTGTATATATTTTAATTAGACCAGTGGTTTGGGCTGGTATCCAGAGGTGAACCCCCACAGGAGGTATAACAAACCACATCCAACTTTTTTTTGTTCAGATATATATCTTCTTCACGGAAAATATGGATGTGGAAAAAAATTCATGATTTAACTAATGATAAATGGGGTGTTGCTATGGCAACATAAAAATATATATTCATAATGGTTACCACCATTGATGTTCCAATATCTTTGTTGTCTTTTGGGCAAGAGATCCCAGATTAGTGTCATTTGAA